TATATATATATTATATGTGTGTGTGTTTCTCTCTATTATGTTGACATTCTACTGAACTAACATCACAAGATAAATGAAGAGTATTGAAAAAAAATTAAGACTTTTCTGATCAGAAAAATGTCTAACCAGCTTGAAGATTATTTCCAACTTTTGTAAGCTAATTTTACAGAGATTTATAAGGTCTTGCCTTAAAATACTAAACAAAATTTTTTAAGATTTAGAAAAAAAGAGGGAAATCTAAAATTCTTACCCATAGACATTTAAGTCAGCAACATGAGGTCCATACATGTGATACCAAAATGTTAAGCAGGCTTTTCCCGTTCCAACAGTGATTTTCGGACTGATCAACTGTGCAGAACTGCCTCGGAAACCAGTCGACGTCTCCAAGTAGGCGTAATATCCATCTGCACAAAATTGTATGAACAACAAGTAAGCCTACATCCTTACTAACACTGAGAGCACAATGTTTCTCCTATAGATAAGATACATGTAGCATAGGTATCTAGTGATAATTTGTAGGGCTAACAACTGAAAGGTTGTGGGTTCAAATCCCATCAAAGGCCCAACATTTTGTGCTTGGGAAAGGAACTTTGCTTGAATTATCCTCACTTCACCCAGGTAGGAATGGGTAAAAAGTAAAGTTGTTCCTGCATCTGATCCGGACATTGGGGACTGCCTTATTAGTGAGACAACTTCCTGGGCCTTTGGCATATTGTGGTAGGAACGGGTATCGGGTTATATAAATATATAGATGGTGGGGGGGTAGACCTACCTAAAGAATCGTAGCCACTTCCAAACAAACCAAAAAGAAGTAGGATGGCTAAACAGATGAATGAATGACATTTCATTGTCATTACTAATATTTAAAACATACAAAATAGCAATAGTTGAGGAAAATACAATAAAAACCAAGTGAAAAAACGACAAACGGGGTTCATACCCACAACACCTCTACAAACATTGGACTGAAGCCTGCTCTTTTTCATCGAATAATAGGGGAAAACTTTTTGATTTTATCAAAAAATCCACAGATCAAGATAAAAAGTAAAGTTGTTCCTGCATCCGATCCGGATTGTCTTTTTAGTGAGACAACTTCCTGGGCCCTCGGCATATTGTGGTAGGGTGGCCAGTTCCTTTCCACACTGCCTTTACTTCCCCAACTCGAAGTCAGGTCCATTGCTGCTGGGTGTGCAGGAGGGGACGAAAAAATCTGTGTCCCAACCGAGGCACGAACCCGTACTTTTCTCTTTGGAGACAAGCGCACTAACCACTATGCCGCACCCTCTACAGATCTAGATACTTACGCTTATTATTGAAATGAATATAGCACCCTCCTGCTTTTTTTTTTGTCTTCAAATAAAAGGGAAAACTTTTCAATTTTATAAAACAATCCACAGATCAAGATATTATAAAAACTTACGAAATACTTAGGCTTTTCAAACCTATCCGTACGCCCTGGGGTCATTTTGTACCCCCGGGGTTGTATTCTTCACATTTTAGAATACTTCTAGTATGGAGATCTCTTTGAAACTTTCAGTATTTCTCAAAAAATCATTTTGACAGACTGCTATGCAAATAGTAAATAATAAATTTCCTCTTTGGAAAGTGGGAGCACAGAGCTCCCCATGTCGTATGGATACAATAGCAAAATATGACTTATGGATAGGGTTAACTAACTGATAATATAGTGTAAAGCGCATAGAGCCTGCTATTGAGTGGGGATATGCGCTATACAAAAGCTATTTATTATTATTAATATTATTATTATGTTTAAAGAATTACATAAAAATGACTAGAATTGCACACATACGCCCAGAAGTGTGATCCTGGCTTGGTCCTGTCCCTTGAGTAGCTGTTCCGTTGGCCTGTCGTGCCCAGTCCTTTTGATCAGTCGTATCTTGCGTCCATGAACAAAAATCTTTGTCGAAGTTGCAGTCGAGGATTTGGGAGCTGGCCACTGAAAGGGAGCAATCATTGAGAAAGAATTGAAAAAATGACATTATTATAAAAGTAAATTCACTTACTTCTTTCCCCAGGGTGGGGATGTTTACTCGGCTATGGCTACGACAGAGGAAATTAAAGCCCTTTAGCAGTGACAAGACTTGGTATATTTGCCATGAAAGAAGCTTGAGACCATTTTAAGCTAAGCACATTGACCGTCTGCGTAGACGAAAAGAGCCATACAAAATGGCAGCTCTATATTACAGAACATTTTCTCAGGGAAAGAAACCAAGAGGAAGGCCAAAATTAAGGGACAAAGAGTAAGACTGCTACAAAAACAGCCTATCTAAGCTTGGAGTAGGCCTAGATGTCAGCACCTGGGAAGAAAGAGCTGAGGACAGGAAATCATGGAGGAAAATGATTTTAAAAAGCACTATAATACTAGAGAGCAGCCTCAGAAACAACCAGGCTGAAAAGCGCAAACCACGAAAGGAAAACAGCGGAGATACAGAGCTTCAATCTACCTCACTGACATGCAAGCACTGCGACAGAATCTGCGCTTCAAACATAGGAAGAATTTGCCATGAAAGAAGCTTGAGACCATTTTAAGCTAAGCACATTGATCGTCTGCGTAGACGAAAAGAGCCATACAAATTGGCAGCGTGCACTAAATTACGGAATTGAATCGCTAGGCTAAGAAAGATCCTATAGCCTGGCATCGAATGCGTGAGACTTCAGAGGAAGTTGAGAAAATTTCGGAATTATCATAGGGTCTTCTGGGGTTGTAATATTATAATGAGCTGTGAAGCGCATGCATGCATGGCCCATAGCTTCGGTCAAAGGTATGCTCAGTTCAAATGCATGTCACTACATAATATGTATTATTATTATATTATTATTATCATTGCTATTTAAGTCTTCTCTGACATCTGAAATTTTTCAGAACACTGCGATTAAGTGTGATGCCTATAATAGCTTCCAAAATGTCTTTTGTAGTACTCAGGTCGTTTGTTTGTTGTTTTTTTTTATTGTTTAGTGTCATCAATCAGTAAGAAAGTCGATTCCTCTACTTTTTTTTTTCTAATTATAACTTAAATTTGTTTTGTACAATGACATGTCGTGAAAAATGTCTTTGACACTTCTCAAGTGTACCTTATTTTTCCTCTCTCTGTCTCTCTCTCTCTCTCTCTCTCTCTCTCTCTCTCTCTCTCTCTCTCTCTCTCTCTCTCTCTCTCTCTCTCTCTCTCTCCAAGTATTTAGGCTTCGAGGTCAAATCTTCAGCCGCTTTCCTCTTTAATTACCGCTCCTTTTGCTACGCTTTGTCTCTGTATTGTCTTAATGGTAGCCAATTTCTGCTCTGTGATTATGGTCACTTGGTACACGAAAAAAGAATTGTTCGTTGGTGATCTTGTTGCTAGAAACGATTTAAACCCCAATTACTCTGAAGACCATTTTCAAATTTTGGGAGGAGTTCCGGAGGGGGGCCGGCACTTAGCGTGAAAAGGTCCACAGAGCAAACTATAACAAGAGTTAGGGTTAGGGTTATATAGGGACAGGGTTAGGGTTAGTGTTTAGGGTTAGGGTATATCCCGCTCAAAGTATCCCCTGTTTTGTATGTTATTGGTCGGCCGGCCCTCTGCGGAACTTCTTCACAGATTTTGGTTGTTTGATAAGAGTCTTAATTTTAATTGTCTTTTTTTTCAGGAAAAAAATTCGATGGCAACAAGGCTAGAGGGCGACCGAGAAAGACCTGGATAGACGGAGTCAGGGAAACATTAACCACCCACGGCATCCTCCTGGCCCAAGCTCTCCGGCTGGCGACAGAGACGTCTCTTTCTTCCCGTGACACTCAAAAGGGTATAAGCGGCGGATAAAAGTTAAAGTTAAAGTAACGGGGTTTTTTTTCGGAATAGATATATACACGTCAACGAAGACATAAATCTTTCCTTTCCTTGTGACAAACTCCTCCATGCCTCTTGACCATGAGAGCAATTTCGCTCAGATTGAAACACAAAACGGAAACGTTAACACACAACAAACACAGGGGTTTAAAAATCATTCTCGGTGTGTTGTCGCTCACATTTTTAAAAGATCTCAACTGTTGTGAGATTTTTTTTCTTTCTTATTTCAGCCTGACCCTTTTTTGTCGCGTCTTTGTGACAACAGAAAAACAAAACAAAATCGTTCACCCCCACCACCAC